GGACAGGGCAGATGGGAGCCGTCAAGGATGGGACTGATCCTTTATTATTTAAGGACAATAAATTAATTTAATTTACTACAGTTGAGGTTAATGATTAATTTATTGTAATTATGACTTTAAAGGCACAAAATAATTGATTTTATATCAAACCACAAGAAGATGGTTTCAAGGTGTGGGACCTAATGACGTTCTTTTATATGCTTTCGGTAAGATTAGCAGTGAGATTATTAGAAGCAAAATCTATGAAAATAATTTTAGTACAAGTGCTTATTATTGAAATTGACTTATAATCCCACCTCTGTCGGCAATGAAACAGCATTTTCCAAGAATTTGACAATATTATGATAATTTGACTGTATTACAGCATGAAAACAAAACTTGTCATTCATGCCTTCTATCGAATTATTTGAGTGTATCAAATTAATTAAGAGGGAAATTATTTAAAGTTGATTTTTGCTCATTTATTATTTTGACGTTGCTCGAATAAATAACTTTTAAGCACGATCAGATGTACTTGATTCTTTACCAGTTTAGCTTGATTCTATAGTTAAAAATAGATTCTTTTATCGATAAATATTAAAAAGACGCCGAGGATAATTCTTGTCGACGGCTTGTAATTTTTTTTTTTTTTTTNTGTGCGGTTAAAAAATAGAAAAAAAAATGAAATTTAGATTTACGAGAAAAATATTTTATTATGGGAACGTGTAGTTCAAAATAAGTATGAGAATATATATATATATATATTTTTTGAAAGAATGATTATCAACCATGGGCTATACATAAACTTTAAATTAATAAATATGTTCATTTTTTATGCTTAATTTTTAAAAAAAATTAATTAATATGGCGTCGAGCAAATATATAAATTCTAAAAAAAAAAAAAAATTCCGTGTAAGTTATTTTAAAATTAAAAGGCTATAGCAGCAGTGAAACATTAGCTTGAGAGATTAAGCCTGATGACTAAACTTTATGGTAAAGTATAGAAAGTCAATTCCGTCGACAAAATAATAATGTCCTAGGGAGTAGACATGACCTATTAGTGGAGACTTTATTTTGCATGAAAATCTTTCTTTTGCAGCCCACGACAAGATTGAAACACGAATTTGTCAAAGAAATGTCTAAGCCACTATTTGATTTAGAAAAAAAAATCAGATCACTAGTAGATTTTGATAAACGTGTTGTTGAAAAATTGTAAATTCTATGAAATATATGGGTACAATTAATTTTTGATTTTGACTTCAATTTTAAAATCTAAATTTTACGTTGAACCATACAGGAACTAAATTTATATTCTTGTGATCTTGATTCAATTACTTAAGGGTCCGTTTGATTGCATGGGTGGAAAATAGGTGAAAAGAAAATGAATTCCAGGAAATGTAATTGCTTAAAAATTGTTTTGTAGGGAATTGTTAATTAAGTGTGTTTGATTGGTATAATTTTCCACCCAGAAAATTATTAAATTTTGTATTCGTTTGGCCTTCGTTTGCATCAACATTGTTCATTAAAGTGATAATTTTTTCCACACTTGGTTATAAAATTTGTTTCTATTGTCAAAAAGTAAAAAAAAAAAAAAAAAAAAAAAAAAAATTTTCAAAAAAAAAAATTTATNAATTGTCCATTAAATTGATAACTTTTTCCACACTTAGTTATAAAATTTGTTTCCATTACCAAAAAAAAAAAAAAAAAAAGGAAAAAAATGTTTCCTAAAAAATCGTTTTTTTAATCAAAATTTAGTGTTCGTTTGGCCTTCATTTGCATTAAATTGTCCATTAAAATGAAATTTTTTTTTCCAGCCACGCATGGAACTAGGCGCGTAGATGGAAAATTTTTGAATCAATTTCCATGACAAAGTATGCACATCAAACACTGCCAAACATGGAAAATGGAATTTGGAAAATGCATGTTATCAAACAAGGCCTAAGTATTTTCAGTGGCCATTGCCATATGTGGATAGAAAAAGGAACCTAAGAGTTCTTACTCCTACACTTGTAATCGGCTCGTGTATTTTATTAACATGGGTCTACCCGAAGATCTTTTAAAAGCACAACAAACAATGCCCAAATTGCCCACTTGTGTGGTGGTAGCAAACAAATAAATAGTTCACTTGTTTATCGTAACTTATTACAAGACTTACATAATATAAGAGACCAAATATATATGCAATCTAAGCTTAGATTTCTCTAATGTAGTTGCGATGCTACATATTCCTAGCCTCCAACATTAAATGACTAATTTATATGCAAGGAAACCACCTCACTCCCATCCACCCCTTCTTACGTTGATGTCGCAGGGCTCTCACCCATGTGAACCTTCTTATGCTAGGTGCCCCACCCCATCTCTTGACTCCCTTAATGGTCCCCGTTTTTCTCTCTTGCACGTGTTTTCCATCGTCACAGCACGTGAATTTCTTATATGTCGGCCCACCACCAATCTCAATAAAAAGTGTTTTAAGCATCGAATTCGACCCATCCAGATGTGTCAATTTAAATTATTTTGGTGGTGTTGCAAGCCACATCCTATGATAAGGACTCAATACATTTCTCCTATTTTTCAAAAAAAAAAAAAAAAACATTGAACAAAAAAATCAAGCTAGTTTGTCCTCTTGTAAATGGGGGATGAAAAATGGAATGGTAAAGGAAATAAGAACAATAGAATGACTTATGTTGATCTTGGATAGGACTCTCGAAGTAGTTGTGGCAAATAGACATGGTCAACACGAGCATGAGCTTTTTATACAATAGGCAATCTAGTCTTGTATCTCCACTCTCTTGAGGTGCCAAAGAGTTCGAACCTAAAAACCCTAGTCCACTTTCACAACACCGAGCCACCCCACCAAAGGAGATTTCTGTGTCCTATAAATACATGTATCTCATTTCCTCGACACACCCCCTTTCTTACTATTGTAATGAATTGGCATACCCCCCTTATCATATAACCTGCATTTCTTCCTTCTCCTATAACACAAATTATAAAAGTTTGGCGTTGCTTCTTCAAGAAAAAGCTGCTTAGCATGTCTACCAAACTGCTTCTAACGTTAGCAATATATCGAATAATACTGACGGTTGGATTAACGTTGGACCCCACGGAGTTGCTACGCCTTGGATTGCACGGTCAATTCAGCTTCGACCCGTCCGACGTGGAAACGGCTTCCAAAGACTTTGGTGGCTTGCGGAGAGCCAATCCATTAGCCGTTCTACATCCTTCTTCAGCAGAGGACATTGTCCGGATTGTCAAAGCCGCTTTTGAATCGGCTCATGGGTTCAGTGTCTCGGCTAGAGGACATGGGCATTCTATAAATGGGCAAGCCACGGCTACAAATGGCGTGGTCATTCAAATGTGTAGCTCAAGGAAGCCGGCTTTGACTATAGTTTCGGAGAAATTCTTGTACGTAGATGTGTGGGGTGGGGAATTATGGGTAGATGTTTTGAGGTCCACCATAGAGTATGGACTTGCACCAAAATCGTGGACTGATTACTTGTACCTTTCTGTTGGTGGTACGATCTCCAATGCTGGTATTAGTGGACAAGCTTTCAATCATGGCCCTCAAATTAGCAATGTCTATGAGCTCGACGTCATTACAGGTTTGGCTAAACTTTACTTATAAGTTTGAAAATTAAAATTTCATTTTGTTGGTCAAAAGAGCATGTTTAGCCCCGATTTTAGACAAACTTGCAAGTTAATTATTTACTTTAAAAGTAATTCTTATGTTGGAGCAAAAAAATAAAAAAGTAATTCTTATTACTGTTAAAATGAGTTATCTTTTTTACTTATAAGTAAAATTAACATCTCTACAAATGTTGGTGTCCAAAAAACATATCTAAAAATGTTTGTGAGCAAAAGTTAACGAAAGGTTAAAGTGTTTCTTTGTCAAAGTTCTCTTCTCGAAACTCAAAAATTTACAATAACAAGTACGGTTATTATTTTAATTTTATCTTTTCACACTCCATCACGTCTCAAATTAGTTCTATGTTTTACTTTTATTTATTTATTTATTTTTTTGTGAAACGTCTCAAACTTGCACAATTTTCATAATTAAAACGTGTTTGAAATTTGAACACATAATGTTTGCATGCTCTGACGTGTGTTACCTCATGTCTACACTATCGTCCAAACGCATATTAAGTAACTTCATCTAAAAATTTTACTACTTACAATGAAGTATGTTACGATAATTTTTCCTTCTAACTTTGATTTTTGTTATTCCGATGGTCATATCTAGTCTTACATCCACAATGTTATTAATTATTTGACAAACAGGAAAGGGTGAGCTGTTGACATGTTCAGAAGAAGAGAATTCAGATTTGTACCATGCTGTTCTTGGTGGTTTAGGACAATTTGGGATCATAACAAGGGCAAGAATTGCCCTAGAAAGAGCTCCCCAAAGGGTAATTTTCCCAATTGTCCCTTTCTTGTTTTTGTGGGGCTCATATATTATATTTTCTTAGTACATTTTATAAGGACATGACCTAATTACCTAATTAGAGTGCGGATTGGGACCATTTCAGGTTGTTTATTTCACACCGTTCAAACAAGTGTCTCGATGACTCTATAGATTGATCTCCTCTCCTTGTGTTAATGATCATAATTTTTTTTTTCTAAATACGTAAATCGCTGAATTTGAAACTTTGAATTCTTTATATTTGAGTGGTCATGAAAAGAACACAGTATTTTTCAAATAAACTAGATTTATACTTGTATTTATAAAACTACCAAGAATTAGAATTATGATGTGGGCGTCGACGAGTCAAGTCAAAATGTATTGGTGTGGTTCTATACTTAGCTAGTCTATCGAATCTTGAATCAAGAAAGGCACGAGCCAAAAAAAAAAAAAAAATCCGTTACATCATGTGAGGTCCCAAAATCGTATACCCAATATTTTGAACAGTTGTTTCAATCATATTTGCGAAATTCTAAAAATCCATGAATTCCTTTAATTGTAAGGATATAGCGCTAAGTGTTAGAAGGATAAAATCCAATATCAAGTAAAAATGAAAATATAGATCAATTTATAAGGATTTGTGATACTCCTCTTTAAGACGAAATCCCAGATTTTAACATGGTATAGGGTCCCATTGAATTCAACGAGTAATTCTATCCAATTAAGATTCAAAAATCTAGCACACGGATTTCAAATATTGGTATGCTAGCTCAAACGAGTCACCATCTTGTTATGACATATTAAAGAATAAAATCACACATCAAATAAAGATGAAAACATACACTAACTTATAAATATTTGGATCCTCTTAAAATGTTGATCTTTTAGGATGGAACATCAAATCTTAACACCATGGGAATAGTCTGATGGAGATGCAATCATATTATCTATAAACACTTGTGTGTATTGTGTAAGTCCATTTTTTTTATAGACATTGATATTGGATAGTATTAAAATAATAATAATAACTTTTTTTTAAATTATATATTAGTAGTATTTAATCTTTCTCACCAAACGCATCATAACTGTATGAGTAATGCTATTTAACACCACAAATACTAAGCACTAATGGTACTAAACACCAGTTTAGGTGGCGTGCAAGTGTCATTAATTGATATATCACCTTTAAAGTAGGAAAATAATTTACATTTAAGATGTCCAATCACTTGCATGACACTTAGATTGGTGCTCTGTGTGACAGTATATACATAAAATTTTGTTCATTTTCGTAATAATGCTTGTGTTATCCAGGTTAGGTGGATCCGGGTATTGTATCCGAATTTTTCAAGTTTTACACAGGATCAAGAATATCTTATCTCTTTGCATGGACAACCAGACACCCATAAGTTCGATTATGTTGAAGGTTTTGTAATTGTTGATGAAGGAATCATCAACAATTGGAGATCATCGTTTTTCTCCTCAAGTAATCCTTTGAAGGTTTCTTCTTTTAATGCTGAAGGGGGTGTTTTATACTGCTTGGAAATTGCCAAGAATTATCAAGAATCAAATGCTGATTCCATAGATCAGGTATCTATTCTCAATCTATTTGACCACGTCTAGACATTCAAGTTGTTATCGAACGCATAAAACGTGAAACTTTGCATAAATAACGTGATGACGAAATTCATATGGACCAGTGTCATTACAAGCATGTTTTACATATGCAAGTTTCGTAATATTTTTGTAGCAAATAAATTGAATTACTTAAATTTAATTTTTCCAAAAAAAAAAA